GATTGGGGTACTGCGTCACTGGTCGGACCGGAGGGTCACTGGTCGGACCAGTTGACCCTGATATATATATATATATATATATATATATATATATATATATATATATATATATAAACATATAAATTCAATTAGATTCTCCATATGTAAAATGAATTAAACAAGGTTCACTAAATAAGCTCAAAAACATGAAACATTAATATAAAAAAATGCACGCTATTACTATGTCAATTTAAATTGCAACTCAGAATCCCCATAAACATACCTCTCAATGACATTGAACTCATATTTTTCAAATTCAACTACATTGAAATGACATATGTCACATTCTCTACTTTATTATTCTGCAAATTGCTTCAGTATTAGAAACTAAAATTTGAGGTCATTTCAGAAGAGAATACTAGCAAATAAAATTATAAAAAGTTTTTAAAATGAGTTCTACATTTTTTTCTGATAAGATAAAATAGTTTTGGTTTTTTGCTTCTTCTTTTTTTAAATGTATGACCCGACCGGGTCACCAGTTTTGATCGGGTTTGGTCGGTTTTGTTCGGGTCGATGCATGACCAGTCCAATGCTTGACGAATCCGTCTGATGACCGATTCGCCGGGTTCCGGGTTGACCCGGCCGGGTCGGGCCGGGTTTTACAACAGAGATATAATTGATTTCTAACACAAACTCTCAAAGATACAAGTAATTCTGATTTTAATATTCCGTTTTACATCTAAAGTGAAGGTTTTAACTATTACTGATTAATATTCATTAAGTTTCATGATCATATATCCTCTAGGGATTCATAGCAACTGTAACAACATTCAGTAATTCCACGTTATAAACAGCACAAAACAACAATTAATTCTAACGAGCCTAGTTAATAACAAAAATGTAGCTCATTAAAATTCAAAGAAAAAAAAAATTTAAGGAACGATCCACCATTATGTGGATTTTAAGAATTCAACAAGCAGATTCTAATAAAATAATTTTAAAAGCATAAGTCAAATTCATTTTGACATAAGTTAGTTATTCGATAAATTAAGTTGGGAAATTAATTTTTTTGGTGGTATGAAACATAATTATTTTTTTTGTTATTGGTCCAAAATTGCTTTGCTACGAAACAGAATTAGAGAGCTTTAGGGTTCAAAAATTTTCTCCTTGCACACATCTTGCTTACTAGTTGTGCCACCCTTTCTTAGGATTTGAGTAACGGATAATTTTTAATGAACATTCAAAACGGTTGTTTTAATTTTTTAGGAATTGTTTTGTCATGTTTCAGGACAAAAAATCCATTTTCCTGCAAAAACAATTCAAGCTGAGCCTCCCCTTGAATTTTTTTTCTCACTCCACTGTTTAATGGACCCCACATATATTATGAGTATATAGGAAGATGATTTTTTGTCCCGTAACATGACAAAACAATTCCCCTTCATTTGTTCTTGTATTTTATGAATTGCTTTCTTATTTTAGAATTTCCTTTTTAGTATACATAGATAGCATTATTTTATCTTTTGTATCATATCATACCACAAAAGGGAAAGGACCAATCCCTCTAGCGGTTAGGAAAATCATAATCAGGCTTACGGACCCAAAACTATGAAACTTGGGTGTGGATATTTTGTTGAAATGAAATGATCTTACTTTACTATTTTTTGAAAAGAAAAAGAAAATACAAATTTTTTCGTAAAAGGCATATATATTAAAATAAATATACTATGCCCTACTATTTGAATCATCATTTTTTGTTTTATTTTACACTAATTCTTCCTCAGCCAGGCTTGGGTGGAATGACAAAGCAAGTAAAGTGTATTCCTTGTTATGAATATATTTGCACATAGTAATTGTAATTATAGGCTCTCAGGAGAATTTATAACTGCATCAGATATGCACTTTCTATTGCTACTGTAACACCTTATGTGCACCCCATGTATTATTATACAAATGATATTAAGCGCAACATAATTAATTAATGATCACAGAAGCTTACTTTATGATTCACTAATAGGTCTAACCATAATGGGATTAAATTTGTTCTTTTTCTAATGTATGCAACATCCAAATTCGAAGCATTGTCTATCATTCATAATCATGACACCATCAGCCTTCAGTCACTAAATGATGGTAGTGAATTACACGAATATGGCAATCTCTTACCATCATTGGTCAAAACGAAACAAACAATATTTCGTCTGTATTTTGGACAATTGAGAATAATTCTCACCATGATAATTTCAACCTGATTAATTTTGCATATCTCAACATCAACTTATCAAATAGACATAGTGGTCCTTCCATCATATATATCACATGAGAACATATCAAGGTCTCCCAAATGACATATAAACTTAATACATCATTTGAAAAAAGAAGGACATAAGTGATATAGACCTATACATACTCTCTAAACATATATAGATAGGCATATCAAAAATGGCATAGACATTTTCTGTGCTCTCCCAAATACATAGTCATCAAGTGATATACATACATGTACATCAAAACATGCATATCACAAATCTCATGCTCTCGAAAACAAATAAGCAGTATACAATAGGCATTAACCGCTACTCAGGCATCTTGCCTAGGGAAGATCTGTAACACTCCGTAGTACTCCGGTTGTTAACATCATGATATTATAGCGTACACAGCAGAATATTTTATTTAAAGATTAATAAACGTCTAGTAAAAATATGAATAAAATTTTTCCAAAACATTTTCTGAAAACATTTCTAAAAACGTTCGCATGAGATACTGCGAAAGCGTAAATCTAAAACACACATCTACTAATTAATTCCATTAGCCAGTATTAGTGGCCATTGACTAACCAGATAAGACCTCAAGTGTCATTCCTGCCAGAGTCTCACGGACAGCATAGCGACTGTTTAACGGATAACTGGGAGATAAGAATCTCACGCACAATCACATCTGATAGACATAGATATATAACAGACAGCTTGCAAGTCCCACACCAACTGCAATCCCCTCATAGGGTCAGTACATACATAATGGCTCTGAGCCTAATTAATACATCCATACATCATGTCTATATGTCCTCATCACATGCATATAACATAGTTCAAAATAAATACATCCATAATCCAGAAGCTCAAATAACAACCATTCTAAGCATTATTAAATACAACTACCTAGTCTCAAAATAAACTAACTAGGCATGTCAAAACACTACACATGCCACATACCAATATAACAGCATAAAATAAACAACATCCTCAATCCACTAATCCATAACTGGGCCCTTGTCCGTAGATTGCTCACTACTACCATGGGTACCTGAAAAGAATAAGTCAAATTCATTTTGACATAAGTTAGTTATTTGAAAAATTAAGTTGGGAAACTAATTTCTTTCGAGGTATAAAACATAATTTTTTTCCTTATTGGTCCAAAATTGCTTTGTTATGAAACTGAATTAGAGAGCTTTAGGGTTCAAAAATTTGCTCCTTGCACACATCTCGCTTACTAGTTGTGCCACCCCTTGGAATTTGAGTATCGGATAATTTTAATGAACATTCATAACGATAGTTTTAATTTTTTTGGAATTGTTTTGTCACGTTATAGGACAAAAAATCCATTTTCCTGCAAACACAATTCAAGCTGAGCCTCACCTTGAATTTTTTTTCTCACTCCATTGTTTAATGGACCCCACATATATTATGAGTATATAGGAAGATGATTTTTTGTCCAGTAACATGACAAAGTCCTCATAAGAGGAATAGTTATTCCCTGGCCAAGTGAAGAGAAGAACACCTCTTAGGATACGTCCTATTTTGAGCATAAGAAAGCTAATGGAGGTGTAGAGATAGGGATATCATCACTACAGAATAACAGAGTTCCTTTACTGAATTAATAGAGTTGTAACTATTATTATATGCATCCTTCTTTTTCTTTTTCTTTTTTCTTTTTCTCGCAGAATTAAGATTTTAAACCTCTCCAAATACAGTATTGGAGATGATCGTATTAGGGAGGATCAAACAACAGCCTCATCTACTCAGTTTCACCAACTGAGCTATCATCATTTGGTTTATATGCATCCTTTTAAACAGCTTCTGCGGGGAGTAATTCAAATGAATGGGAGGGAGAGCCCTCAAGTAGTCTTTGGCTCATTGAATAATCAATCACCCCTTTTTGGGGCTGCTAATGCAGGTAGCAAGGATGACAAGGGAAAAAGCAAAAGCAGTACTAAAAAACAATGAAAGAGAGTAACAACTAAAGTACAAATGAACCGGATGTTTTGGAAGTATTTTAAAGCTGTGATACTGAATCTTTAAAAGCATGTTTGTATTAAAATGATGTTGAGAGTAGGCTTATGTAAATATGCTCGGTAGCCTCTTTCGTAAGCAGTTGGTACATGTGATCATTTTGTGCACCAATAGTGATCTTAGTAATCTTTTATCTAGTTTTATGTTGTATGCAGACTACTGATCTGATGTGAGAATGCTAGTGATTCTCTTGAAAGCCGTGTTATGTGAGACATGTAAATATCAGGTATAATCTTGATGTTAAATCTGTTAAATTAGGTGAATATGTTGTCTATCATATGAATGTAAGGGTAATTTAGAAAGTTCAACTTTCACTTCCTAGAATACTAAAATTTTCAGACTAATGAGTTGTTCCCTTAAAAGTACTTATGTGTAAACTACATAGCAATCTTTGTCCTTATATTCTTTTGCCTGCTCATGCATGCTACGATTATAGACTGAGTCAGAAGCCTATGAAGTGCATGGTCAGATATTTGGGTCTACTTGACAATACTTAAGCAAAAAATAATAAAATAACAAACAAATAAATAAATAAAAGGTCTACTTGTCATTATTGTCCACTTTATTTTAACTTTCTTCAATTAAGAAATTAGTGGGATCTAGTACTCAAAATTTTCAATTATTTCTTCTCTCAAACCACAATTTGTTTTTCCGCATTCTATGATGCTGCCAAGCTGATCAACTGATAAATTGGAGAGCTGAACTAACTAAACAATAAACACATGCTACAATAGATCAAAGGTTATTTTGAAGAAAACATGATGCTATAATAACTTGACAACCAAGCCCTTGAATATTAAATCAACAAAAAGAACAACTCAAACAAACTCTGTTTCCAAATTAATGGATAAATAACAGTGTTCTGTAATAAAGAAATTGTTGACATTACATCAATTTAGGCCTTCCTTCTTCTGATCTGCTTCAGTTGATGGTTTTTCCATGCTTCCATCATAGTTCCCAGGGAGTGAAAGAAGACTCTCTGTATACGCAGCTACTTCAAATCGACTCTGACCATCGGAATCATATTCACAACGTGCTAGCAATTCTCCTTTGTCATTAAATTTCATGAATTCTGCCTCATCAAAACCTAATGCAACAAGTTCACCACCTTTGGCCATGCATACAGCGGAAAGGCACCTAGGAATTTCAAGCATAGTCCAAGATGACTGCACTTTATATTCTTTCATAATCCACACCATAGTTTTACTATCGTGTAAACGAGATAAACAGAGACATCCTCCCATAGTTCCCAAATAATCATAATTGAAGTCATCTGTGAAATCACCGTCTGGCAAAGATATCTCATAAAAATTCTTTTTCATCAAATCAAAAGCAAGAATTACTGTAGCTAATAAATTTTCATCATAAGCCAACCAATGAATAGCATCATTACAGAGAAATGATGGATTATCAATATGATAGTAGGGAATATGGGGCCCCTGAATTTCTTTCAATGAATTGGTTCTCAAAGAGAAAAGCACCAAACGGGTTGCCAAATTAGAGTCATGCTTAGGCCATAGCACAACTACCAAATAATCATCCGCGGATGGGTCATATCCAAAACCAATTAGGAGTCTCTCTGCTGACTCTGCATTTTGACATTCTTGCCCCATTTCAGAGTATGACAGGTCTCTGTGGAAACCAGTTGATGGGTTCCAAATATAAAGATTTTGATATTCTTCCGTTAAATGCGGTCGCTCCATGGAATCCAGTTTATTTTCTATAAGGACAAACCCTCTGCATGAACCCCAAATCACAGCATAATATTCAACTAGTTTTGGAAGTGGGGGAACGAGGCTTACAACGAAAGAATCATCCTGAAGCGATGCATCAACATCGAAGGATCGAGCTTCGTAATCAGAAAATGTTATCTGGAGAAGCTTGTGGGAGGGTGCGGCAGATAGCTCGTAATGGGATTTTGCAAAGTGAGAGTCAGAGATGAGAGAATGCCATGATTTGCACACACACTTGAAACGAACAAGTGACTTCACAGGTAACCTCAACAGGATTTCATGAATCACATTCCAGTGGAGGTTACTCTCCACCCTCCTTCTTTTCATGTTTCTGTTTTTCAAACGAGAATTAGGGTTTAGATTACTCACGTTAGAGGAAGGATACAGATTTATAAACAGAATCCGGTGAGAATTGTGCTGAGTTGTAAATTAAGATATGATTATGAATTGTTACAATTGGGAAATTAAGATGTAATTATATGATGATGTAATTATATGATGATATAATCATGATGCAATGAATTAAATTAAAAGGAAGAATTTAATTCGAAATATATTTTCCTTTTATCTTAATTTAAAATATCATCTGAGATTTCTTTAGATATATATTTTTTAGATTTTTTTAGATTTTATAATTTTTTTATTGGGATTAAAGTATCTACTATAACTTCAGATAAGGATCTCTGCTGATCAATTAAACGTCGACGTTTTGGTCCTTTTGTTTTTTAAATCAAATTTCTTATTGTTCGCTTGCCTTTTGTGTTTCGTCTTCCCGAACTATTTGCGCTTCCTTATTCATAAAGGATAGCCGTCTTCGTCTCTCATATGGCTGCTTTTTTTTTTTAGCTTCCTTTTAAGCATGAGTCCCCTGTTGGCTAGGTGTGAGAAATGAAACTCCTCCCATTTATAGTGGAGGGTATCTTCTCTTGTCATCCTGGCTTTTAGAAATGGGGTTTCCTCTGCTCCAAGGGGTATTAGAACCTGGTTTGTTACTTCGTTTACCTCCTGGTGTGAATGGGCCATTCTTTCCAACTTGATGGGGTGACCACAGGATTGTGAGTTGTGTATTAGCTATGTCATGAGTGTGGATGGAGGGTTTTGCTTCTTATCAGTCTGGATTTTAGTTGTGGGATATTGGCCTCTCCTTTACATTGAATGATCCTGATAATATTGAAAAACCCCATCTTTCTACCACCCTTTTATATGAAAACAAGATCTTATGCCTCTCTCTACTCACCCTTTTCTATGACATTTTTTAGAATTAACGTGTTGACGTGTCATGTCGTGTCGCGTGTCAGTGTCGGTGCATCATTGATTATAAGTTATTATTCAGTATTTATTTTCTTTCCTAATATAACAAAATCCCAACAATTTCATCATAAATTTGACCAACTACATATATTACTAATAAATTTTGATTCATCAGTAATCAAGGATTGAATTAGTTCTATCAAAATTTGAGTGATTATCACTTAATTTTTTTTTCTTTTGGGTTGTGAAGGGATGCTATCTATATATGATAAATGGGAAAGGGAACAATATCGTACTTATTGTTCAATAAACATGATAAATTTCTACAAATAAAACTTACATTGGTCTACATAATGGATAATGTTTGGTATTGATATTCATGATAAAATTATTTCGTAAATTCATGATCCTTATATTGTGAAAATCTTTGGGATATCATTATATTTTAGGAAAGATTTCAAAAGTTTTTTATTCTAAAAAATCGAGTAGTGTGTTATGATTTTTTTGTCAATGTCTTACTTAATTTCCTTATTTTCATTCTGGATGTATCGTATATATTATAATCCATTTAGTAATAAATTATGGATGAAATACATGAAATGCATAAAGCTTACAATAAAAAATGATTCACGTAATTAAAAAACAGAAAAAATGATAGAAAAAAATAAAAATATAAGATAAATGATACCTTGGTCCTGATAATTATCAAACACTCTCTTTTTCTTTTATGCAATACTGTATAGAAAACATAATAAGTGAGAGGGAGATTAATAATGGTGTCACTCACAGAATTCAAGTTGCGTAAAATAAATGGAGACATGCTTCTAGCATAACTTGTAATTGTAAAATGTCTATTAAACTCAAAGAAAAGTTCTACTGTGTACAGCTATAAAACGAGCTATACTATTCTTTTTGTGAGTATTAATATTTTAAGAAGAACGATCAAATATTTAGCAACTAATTTACGTTGAATCGCATCTATAAATAGATTACTCTACAACTCTTCTAAGTTCTAAGAATGTAATTTATGACTTTCTGAAGATATTAATTTTTTAATAATAGAACTTACAGTACAAAGAATAAAATATTATTTTAACAGTTATCTGAGTTTAAAAAATTATTTAATTAAATAAGGAGAATAAGAGTTCATCGCCTCTCTACTCCCTTTTTCCTCTCCAACGTTTCCTATAGTTCTTGTTTTTAATTTTAATTTTTCTTTTTACTCTTGAATTTAATAAAAACATGTAAGAATTAATAATTTTAATTTACATCTTTATTCTGAGTTAGTTTTTTATGTTATTTGAAAGTTTTTTTAGGCATGTCAGAAATTTTCTTAACTTAAAAACAAAAATTGCTCGTGATTCTTTTAAGACATTATTTTAGAAACAAAGTAAATAATATTACACATAAATGTGTTGAATATTTTTAAATATAACTATAAAAATTCAGTGAAAAATATTACACACTACTTAATAAGAATATGGATGATAATGTTCCCACCAACGTTTTTTTTTAATCTGGAAAATCTAAATGGTGAGATATAACATGTGGTAAAATCAATTATCTTTTTGATTTCAGAAAATGAACCGGTAATTTAGAAACCAAAATATACAGCATTAGAAGCAACAGATATGGGGTTTGGGGTTTGAAAAAAAATTAATAACATAGGTTATCTCATATCCTAAAATGACGATGTTTTGGGGTTTGAAAAAAAAAATTCAGGGTATTTTAGAAAAATTTATAATATAAAAAAAGAATTTAATGTTCTCATATTATATGAGATAATTTTATCTTCTGCACACACATAAAAATATATAAGATTCATATGGGACCATGTGAAGAGAAGAGAGAGAAAAGAATATGTAAGTCCGATATATTTTTATGTGAGTAGGAGATAAAATTATCTCTTATAAACATGAAAAATATTAATTTCATAAATGAAAAGTAAAATTTTCAAAATATCATATATTTTTTCTCTAAATCTCAATAAGATGCCATTTTGGAATTACAAGCATATAATAATTATCATGCTTTTAAGATCAAATAGAAAAACAGCACACATTAAAAAGTTAAAGATTCAAAAACCCTCAAAAACCTTTACCATGGACCTCGGGGGTTGCTATAGCCTAAGAATTCATAGTTTCAGTGACTCTTGCCTAAGAAGTCCTCAACCCTATTTATGACCTAATGCTCATTAACTTCTCACTATTTTTTTTTTCTTTCTATCTGCCCATTAGAGAGAGAGAGAGAAAATCTGAGAGTTAATGGTTGGATCTTTACCGAGAAAACAAAATGTGAATATGTCATCTTAACTTGACCAGTGACAGAAATATGGCATAAAGGTAGGTGTGTAACCCTGGCAGGCCGAGGTTCCAAATTTAAAAAGTAGTGACCAAACACACATTACTTTTAAGGGTTACCCTCCAATGGGATTCCCTCTCTTCGGTATACAAAATTTATGCTCTCTTTTTCTATAACTCTTTCTATCACTACACACACACTGTGCCTCATATATACTCAAATATCTCAACCCGATTAACATGATTAAAGTAATAGTGCCTCATATATAACTCTTTCTATAACTCTTTCTATCACTACACACACTACACCAGCTGACAGAAAGTACATACCTTCAGTAGGGAAATAGCAACTGAAATGGCCCTTCCAGAGGGGCTTGAAGAGCTTTGTGGTGAACCTATTCATACAAGTATCCATGTTCATAACGGGAGAAAGAGGCAAAATACACAAAAAGAAGTACTTAAGTTACCTGAAGATAAAGTAAAGACACAACTTTTGGGAGAAGTGATACAGGGTCAGTCTCAGCAGAAACTTGAGAACGTCAATTCCTGATAATAACAATGATGGAAGAGAGAGTTCAAAAATATCAGCATAACAGTGTATCATTCCAAAACTGACTGAAAGTTCTATCTGGAGTTGTGTCACTAACTAATATTAGGGAGAATTACAATTTAAGAAATCTTGACTAACATATCCAATATAAGAAGAATTAACTGAAGCTGGAAAGAATAGCAAATCAATGTTCAAATAATGGTTAATGGTAAACTAAACACAAGCGCAGTTGCTGATAGTAATTCATCAAACATAAAAGTCACAAGCAAGATCCAAACTCCAACTATTTTGTTGCAACTTGACCAGATATTGTCAATGTACCACAGCCACATTGAAAAAATCCCACCAAAAATTATTAAGAGGCCGGCATTGCCCACAGCTTCATGCTTAAAAAAACAAAGGACTTTCAAGACCGACATTTTCTATTTGTTAGCAAACCATGTAGTTCTACTGGAGAACGCTTACAGTGAATAATAAAAGCATAGGAACAATAATGACTAGAAAATCCAAAGACAATGTAGCTAGGTATGCTTTGAAACTCCTATTCACAGAAACTGCATCGTCGTTTTTCTTCTTCAGGGAGGCACCTGTAATTTAAAATAAAATAAAAAATGATAAACAAGTAAAAAGAAAGATATTCAAGCAAAAAGAAACATGTTATCTACATCACGTATGATGATAAACTTTAAACTGAGCGTGCACTGAAGCCAAAACCAGAATCACAGACCAGAAGTAATTAAACCATAATGATTAAATTAAAAACACGCAGAATTATAATCAAATATAGCAATTGAGCATAACTAAAATCGGGTTTGGGTATCAATGAACTAACGAAAATATTGAAAAAAGAAAAAGAAAAACAAATAATAATTAGATTTGAAAGTACCAAATTGAAGTATTAGAAGGGACTGACCAGTTATGGAATTGGAGGGGATGGAGTGACGAATAAGGACAAGAATCGGTGACGAAGGAAGAGGAGTTGACGGTGAGGAGCGAGATCTCGTCGACCTTGGGCCTGAACAGAGAGATCTGAGAGTTGGAATTGGAGAGAGAGAGCCTTGTAGAAGAACTTGTCCTTCGATGCGAACACGATTCCCAACTTTGTACAAATGAGAATGAAAAGAAAAGAAAAAACGATGGAGATGTTTTGATGTGCGGCGCTAGGTTCTGTAATAGGTTTTTTTTTTTTTTTTATGAGAGGATGGAGAGTAAAGTAATTTCTTATCTAATAAAATAATTCCTTTTTTTTTGAATTACAAGAGAATAGAACTGCAACTCACACACCCACTAAACACTGCACCAGTAGGCTAGCGGTTTAAAATAATTTCTTTTAAAAATAAAGTTACTCAATAAATTTTTGAAAGCTAACGTCTTTTCGCTGAACCGCCAATAACAAATCGACGTAGAATTTCGAAATTCTGGTAGGTATGGTTAACAAACAAATAATATAATTCAGTGTTGTTAAACCCGACCCGAGTCTCGATCCGATCGGGGTACTGGGTCACTGGTCGAACCAGTTGACCCAGATATATATATATATATAAATTCAATTATATTCTTCATATCTAAAATGAATTAAACAAAGTTCACTAAATAAGCTCAAAAACATGAAACATAAATAAATAAAAATGCAGGCTATTACTATGTCAATTTAAATTGCAACTCAGAATTCCCATAAACATACCTCTCAATGATATTGAACTCGTATTTTATAAATTCAACTACATTGAAATGACATATGTCACATTCTCTACTTTATTATTCCGCAAATTGCTTCAGTATTAGAAACTAAAATTTGAAGTCATTGTTAGAAGAGTATACTAGCAAATAAAATTATAAAAAGTTTTTAAAATGAGTTCTACATTCTTTTCTGATAAGATAAAATAGTTTTGGTTTTTTGCTTCTTCTTTTTTTAAATGTATGACCCGATCGGGTCACCGGTTTTGATCGGGTTTGGTCGGTTTTGATCGGATCGATGCATGACCAGTCAATTGCTTGATCGTGCCCTTTTGATGACCGATTCGCCGGATTCTGGGTCGATCCAGCCGGGTCAGGCTGAATTTTACAACAGTGAGATAATTGATTTCTAACACAAACTCTCAAAGATACAAGTAATTCCAATGTTATCAGACCCGGCCCAGTGACCGAACCGGTCGAGGTACTGGGTCAGTGGATCATTGGTTCAACCAGTGGGTCATTGGTCCAACCGCTTGAACTGGATAAATATATATAAATTTAAAATTATATATATTTTTTAAATTATGACAATAAATAAATATTTATAGCATCAAAATAAAAAAAACACAAATACAGATGCCATTATATAAGTCTAATTCCATCGCATGATTTTGTGTTTTTTATTACAAAATCAATACAGTACCCATCTCAAATCCACAAAACAAAATAGAATAAAGAATTGTAAATGTAAATAATAAAAATTAAAAAAAGAAGAAGACAGATAAGAAATGAGTGGTCCAAAATAAAACCAGAATTCAAAAAGTAAAACCAGCCACAGCCAACCCATGGTATTCTGATTTTATTGGGTAAATCAATCTCTCTCTCTCGTTTTCTCTTTCTCCTTCCTACGCAAGTTTTGAAATGAAATTTCAGTCTTTCTCTCTTTTGTTATGGCTTCTCTTCAAGCCGCAACACGATGCTTTTTCAGTTTTTCTGATGTCTTCGACTCCTTTTTGTTCATTGTCTCGTCTCCTCTTCTCCTTCTCCTTATCTGTGTATTTGTTTCCTCCTTCTCCTTCTCCTTCTCTGTGTTTACACGTTTCGATTTCATTCCAAACAAATTTTTTTTTCTGACCCAGCGAGTCACCGGTTTTAGTAAAACCGGCCGGTTCACTCCGATTCGCACTGGGTCACGCCGAGTCAATTACATCTCTGATCTATTACTCTACCCGGACCGGTCACATGACCGATTTTCGGTTCGAACTGGTCGGTTCGGTCCGGTTTTTGTAACATTGAGTAATTCTGATTTTAATATTCCTTTTTACATCTAAAGTGAAGGTTTTAATTATTACTGATTAATATTCATTAAGTTTCATGATCGTATATCCTCTAGGGATTCATAACAACTATAACAAAATTTAGTAATTCCACGTTATAAACGGCACGACACAACAATTAATTCTAACGAGCCTAGTTAATAACAAAAGTGTAGCACATTTAAAATTCAAAGAAAAAAAAATATTTTTTAAGGAACGATCCACCATTATGTGGATTTTAAGAATTCAACAAGCGGATTCTAATAAAATAATTTTAAAAGCATAAGTCAAATTCATTTTGACATATGTTAGTTATTCGAAAAATTAAGTTGGGAAACTAATTTCTTTGGTGGTATGAAACAATTTTTTTTTTGTTATTGGTCCAAAATTGCTTTGCTATGAAACTGAATTAGAGAGCTTTAGGGTTCAAAAATTTGCTCCTTGCGCACATCTCGCTTACTAGTTGTGCCACCCCTTAGGATTTGAGTATCGAATAATTTTAATGAACATTCATAACGGTAGTTTTAATTTTTTGGAAATTGTTTTGTCACTGCAAAAACAATTCGAGTTGAGCCTCGCCTTGAATTTTGTTTTCTCACTCCACTGTTTAATGGACCCCACATATATTATGAGTATATAGGAAGATGATTTTTTGTCCCGTTCTTGTATTATATGAATTGCTTTCTTATTTTAGAATTTCCTTTTTAGTATAAATATATAGCATTATTTTATCTTTTGTATCATATCATACCACAAAAGGGAAAGGACCAATCCCTCTAGCAGTTAGGAAAATCATAATCAGGCTTACAGACCCAAAACTATGAAACTTGGGTGTGGATATTTTGTTGAAATGAAATGATCTTAATTTACTATTTTTTGAAAAGAAAAAGAAAATACAAAATTTTTCGTAAAAGACATATATATTAAAATAAACATACTATGCCCTACTCCTTGAATCATCATTTTTTGTTTTATTTTACGCTAATTCTTCCTCAGCCAGGCTTGGGTGGAATGACAAAGCAAGTAAAGCGTATTCCTTGTTATGAATATATTGACACCTTATGTGCACCCCATGTATTATTATACAAATGATATTAAGCACAACATAATTAATTAATAATTGTAGAAACTTACTTTATGATTCACTAATAGGTCTAACCGTAATGTGAATAAATTTGTTCTTTTTCTAATGTATTGCAACATGCAAATCCGAAGCATTGTCTATCATTCATAATCGTGTCGCCATCAGCCTTCAGTCACTAAATGATGGTAGTTAATTACACGAATATGGCAATCTCTTACCATCATTGGTCAAAACAAAAAAGACAATATTTTGTCTGTATTTTGGACAATTGAGAATAATTCTCACTATGATAATTTCAACCTGATTAACAATTTATATAATCCAGCACAATCACAAATTATTCCATTCTCTTAATTTTGCATATCTCAACATCAACTTATCAAATAGGCATACTGGTCCTTCCATGATATATATCACATAAGAACATATCAAGGTCTCCCAAATGACATATAAACTTAATACATCATTTGGAAAAAAAAAGGACATAAGTGACATAAACCTATACATACTCTCTAAACATATATAGATAGGATTATCAAAAATGGCATAGACATTTTCTGTGCTCTCCAAAATACATAGTCATCAAGTGATATACATACATGTACATCAAAACATGCATATCACAAATCTCATGCTCTCCAAAACAAATAAGCAGTATGCAATAGGCATTAATCGCTACTCAGGCATCTTGCCCATGGAAGATCTGTAACACTCTGTAGTACTCCAGTTGTTAACATCATGATATTATAACGTACACAGCGGAAGATTTTATTTAAAGATTAATCAACGTCTTGTAAAAATATGAATAAAATTTTTCTAAAACATTTCTAAAAACGTTCACATGAGATACTGCGAAAGCGTAAATTTAAAACAGACATCTACTAATTAATTCCATTAGCCAGTATTAGTGACCATTGACTAACCGGATATGATCTCAAGTGTCATTCCTGCCAGAGTCTCACGGACATCATAACGATTGTTTAACGGATAACTGGGAGATAAGAATCTCACGCACAATCACACCTGATAGACATAGATATATAACAGACAACTTACAAGTCCCACACCGTCTGCAATCCCCTCATAGGGTCAGTACATACATAATGGCTCTGAGCCCAATTAATACATCCATACATCATGTCTATATGTCCTCATCACATGCATCTAACATAGTTCAAAATAAATACATCCATAATCCAGAAGCTCAAATAATAACCATTCTAAGCATTATTAAATACATCCATGATTTGCTTTTTTGTTTTAGAATTCCCTTTTTAGCACAAATAGAAAGCATTGTTTTATCTTTTGTATTCTGTCATACCACAAAAGGGGGAGGACCATTCCCTATGGGGGTAGGAAAATCATAATCAGGCTTACGGATCCAAAACTATGAAACCTGAGTGTGGATATTTTGTTGAAATGAAATAATCTTACTTTACTATATTTTATAAAAGAAAAAGAGAGCACAAAAAATTCGTAAATGTTGTATATATTAAAATACATATAATATGCCCTACTCTTTGAATCATCATTTTTTGACACCTCGTATTTCTTCCTCAGCCATGCTTGGGTGGAATGACAAAGCAAGTAAAGTGCGTTCCTCATTATGAATATGTTTGCACACAGTAACTGTAGCCTCTCAAGAGAATTTATAACTGCATCAGAGACACATTTTCTACTGCTAGTACTAGTACATTTGAGAATTTTTAATGAGTTTTCTCAATTATAGCAAAGTAAAATGAGATACGATGAGATAGAATGTAATAGAAACAAAGATAAGGGAACATGTTACCTACTCTTAATGGTCAAAGTGAACCTTTTCCTTTCAAATTGAAAAATTCCGAATGAATCAAATCTTTCCAAGTAGGATTCAAACCTATGACCAATCAAGTAATAGCTGACTGCTCTACCATTAAGCTACTGAGGAACACCGAGCAATTTGATCCCCTAGAGTTTCATTCCGGTTCTCAAGCTATGACCATTATAAGCTTGAAGTTTCCTTCATAACTCATGGATCTTTCTCAAAGTGACTATGTTCCATGTGTCATGGTG